AGCACAGGAGCCTTTCAATTTGAAAGTAGTTTGTAAAACCTGAAGTAGCTCAAAGTGTTCTCCCTGACATGGATTATCTGGTCACCCTATCTTATGTTAGAGTCAGCCTTAGTTGTCTGTCTGTAAGACGGTAAAAACTAAGAATTTCTTAATTTCTCCAAAAATTTCCTAATAACCTTGTTGGTTAGGTAGGACTCCGCTTCAGATTCTCTGCAAACTTCTCCTCAGAGCCACCTCAGCCATTCCATGTATTTTCACCACCAACTCAATTAAGTAACTTGATTGATAATTAAATGAGCTGAACAAAATGTGTGCTAGTGGTCAAATGCATGGGTGTATTGGATGGTTACTACAAATACTGGGGTGATTTTAGGAGAGGATATGAAATGGTTAAGCTGACAGATTGACAGACATAATTTTACACCAAGATGTTTTAAAATTTCTTTTACTGCCTAAGACTTGCACAGCGCTGTAGATTGGGGGGGGGGGTGGTTCCGAAGCCTTCCTATGTATGATGCATTTGTATGTCCCAATGCTCTCTGAGTCCACCTTAGTTGATTCTGTCTTGAATCTGATTCAATTTGTTCAAGATTACAGACAGGGGGCAAGTCTGACTTCCTGTAGTTGTGTAGCAGTGTTAGTCCATAAATGGTTCAATTCTAGACCATGACTCTTAATTCAAATTCAGTCTGAACAATTGCTGACTTGGCGGGCATGATGAGATTACCGCCCTGTTTGTCTAGGTGGCTCCAACATCATCCAAACAGCACGGCGTCAACGTCGGCGTAAACGCCTCGGCCACCGCCTTCCAGCAGGCCAGCGGCTACGGCTCCCATGGATATAGCACTGGTGAGTGGCACTGTGATAGGCTCCCCCCCCCCGCCCTCTTAACAGCCCCCCAACCAACCCCCATGCATGTGTTGCATCTAGCGCAAGTGAGATTGAGTCGAACGCAATTCAGACAAGCGGGTGGGTTTCTGTAAAGGAAACCACCAGAGATGAAAGGAAGGCGTGTTTTTCTTTTAAGAGCTTTTTTTGGTTTTTGTTCTGTCGCTGTCTGCTGCCCCCATATCTGGTCTGTCTGTTTCGTTCATGTGCACATGGACTCTTGTGTGAAGGCAGTCCTGGTGTCTGTGTGAGTCCACCACTAACCTCTAAGGGCTCAGCATTTCTGATCATTCTCGCCCACCGTCTTGCGCTTATACTCCCCCGAATAAGCAGCTCTGTGCCGTCTCTGTCAGGGCTTCTGTTTTTCTCCTTCCGAAAATGGGCCACCATCTGCACAGGCTTAATTTCTGCGTTTGTCCCCCCCCCCTCGATTGACTTGCCCTGCTCGTTTTCACCCGCTGACCTCTCCGCCAGCCGTTGCTGTCCTCGCCGCAGAGCCCCTCTCTTTCCGTCCCTAGTGCCCCCGGGACTCTCTTTGTCTCAGCCCTCTTGGACGTCGGTGCCGTGTCCGCAGTGGAGCAGCCCATTCCTAGCCCCTGCTCCCGTCTTCCTGGCTGGTGTCTAACGCTGAGGGCTGTGGCTGTCTGACTGTTGCAGGCTATGAGGAAATGGGCCAGGCTTCGGGGAGTGGGGATTTCTGTAAGGGTGGATATAGCACTGCTGTCGCTGCCGCCGCCGCCGCCGCTGCTGCCGCTTCCGCGCAAAACAAGCCGGCCAGCTCCGTCACCGGGCCCGGAGTTGGTGAGTCTCTCACCCCCCCTTCCTCTTCCTCTTCCTCTTCCTCTCGGTCTTCTGCACCTGTCAGTGGCCCATACTCCTCTTCGTGTCCTCTCTGTGTACAGCTTTAAATTGCCCCCCTCCCCCCGCCACCTGCTTCTGTTGTGCTTCTGCCTCAGTTAAACTGCGTTCTTCACTTCCTGTCTGCCTCTCATTTGCCCCTAGTT